TTACCAAAGCACGAGTGACCTAACCTAGAACTTCAAGAGTGACTGGTTCCATATTCACCCAAAGTTATGGTTCCTCCAATTTCTCTCCCCAAAACTTCTGTGTTATTTGTTATTTTATCATATATTTACCCCAGAGACAAAAAATGATATATGAGGCAAAGGTTACATTATTCACTTTTGTATTTGGATATAAGTACATAGTATCACTTAAACAATGATTCACTAATTAACAAGAAATGAAACATTCAAAAGCATTGCTTTTGTAATCCAAACACACAAGTTGACTCCATTATCTGAATGACCTTTGAAAAAAAATCTTATCTCTCTGGTTTTGGAAAATGTACAGGCTGGATTGTATTAGGAGGCCACAGCATGCTCTACCGAATCCTGAAAAACTGGGGTGTATAACCTTACCTTCACTTGTTTCAAAGGCCTTAATAATGACCTTGTGAACATCTCAAGGGAGCTGAAAGAGACAACTTCCCAGGCTTGCCTGTGCACAGAATCCTTCGGACACAGACCATCCCATGGAGCTTGGCTGGGAGAATCTCAGACTACTTGCACATCTATTTGATGCTTCTGGCTTGATTACCTTAAGCTAACTGCTTTTGCACAATCTTGGGTTCCTTTAGTTGTTTCCTGTCTGTACCACACTCCTGCTTATCTGAGGTGCCTTTATCTCTGATCTGCAGGTCACCAAGTCCAGGGAGTCAGAGTTCACTGAAGTTGCTTTTTATCTCAAGGACTGATATGGTACTGCCTGTTACAGAGCAAGATAAGGCCCAGTTACTCCATGGCTGCTGTGCACGTGAAGCCATCTGAATGGGCACCTGTCACCTGGACAGGCCGTGTGCTGTGGTTTCCTCAGCAGAACATCTCACCTGTGAGGCACAGTGTAACTTTGCAGTTATCCTACAGCTTTAAGTATCTCTCATGCTTTGATTAACAAGCAGGTAATTAACAGATTGGAGGCCAGAAAGCAGCAGGAAAATGCCATAAAATACAGAATATAGGTGTGGTCTTGGCTGCAGGGACCCCTATTGTGGCCTCTAGGAACCATGAGCTGAGTAGCAAAGGTGACAGAAACAGCTCCCTTGCAGGTCTAGACTCTGGAAGTCTAGTATCCAGTGCTGCAGGGTCATGCCCTACCTAAAGCCTGAGGTTAGGTTTCTTGTTTCTCCCATCTTCTGAGAGACTTGGATGTTCCTCACTTGGTACCAGCGCGACTCCATCTTTGGCTCTGTTTGTGCAAAGTTGTCTTCCTTCTGATTGTGTCCATAGCAAAGGCTATGCTATGAATGCCTGAGAAACACGGAGAGAATATAAAATATTGATTGAATAAAGCAGGTGAGTACATAGAAGAGGAGCTTACATCATATTTCTTTTGCCTTACTGCAATTTAATCCTTTTAGCAACAATTGAAAGGACTTTTGTTTGTTTGTTTTTGACTTTGTTGTTGTTATTGTTTGGTTTTTTTGAGACAGAGTCTCACTATGCATCAGTGGTTGGCACAGAACTGACAGGGTTCTACCTGCTTCAGCCTCCCAATCGTTGGGATTGAAGGTATGTACCACCATGCCCAACCAAATTAAGGGTTTACAAGTCCAAACTTATGAGTGAGGAGACCTAGTCTCTCTGAAGAATGTAAAATCTTATTCCTGTCAGTGTACAACTAGCATTTGAATCCAAGTTGCTTTGTCACCAAGATCAATACTTTTGTCATTCTACATGATTCACACGCCTAGATAAATATACTAGTCACAAATCCAGGAGAGTGGAGGCTGGGGATGTGGACAAGGAGACTGTCAGCAGATTGAGGAGCCTGTTTTGTTCGGTTTGGTTTTGAGACTGGTTTCTCTGTGTGATGCTGGCTGTCCTGGAGTAGACTAGGCCGGCCTTTAATTCAGATCTGCCTGCCTCTGCCTCCTAAGTGCCGGGATCAAAGGTGTGTGTCACCATCTCCTCTCTTTCAACATTTGAACTCAAGACTCTCTTGATTTTTCTCTCTGGTTATCTATATCTGGACCAGTCCTGTCCTGCAGAAGGCATGCAAAGTCCCATAATTAATCACTTATTGTCCCTTCCCTATCTGCCCTTGACAAGCTTATTCTCTCAAGGTAACAGAACACTAGTGTACTACAAAGAGGAAGAAAGCATATAATTTAACTAGAGATTTGACAACAACGTGGGTCTGAAAGTGGAGAAGTGAAAGTAACCACTTGTAAAGTTTCTGGATATATGCACGAAGCAGTGTATCACCATGTGAAGGCAGACAGTCAGTGTTTAGTTAAATGTGTACACTAAAAACTCTGAAATAAACACAGAAATCATGATATAGATAGAGACCCCTAAGAAGCCACAGAGGAGATAAGATGAAATAAAAATGAGCAGTCTACCAAGAAAGATACACAAATAGCAAGCATTATTAGCTATCAGGGAACTACCTATCAAACCTCCAGTGAGGTACAGCTTGATACCCAACAGAATGGCTGCAGGCAAAAAGACAGATACTAAAAGATGTTGAGACAATGTCAAGAAGTAAGAATAATCAGACACTGCTGGAGGGAATGTACAAATTAGGCAGCAACTTTGCAATAGCTTGGCTACTATCCATATCATCCAGCAGTTCCATCCTAGGAACATTATCAGGAGAAATTAGCGGCTACCTGATGTCTTACACATCAGGGTTATAGTAGCATTATTGGAAGTTACCAGAAGTAGAAGCCAATCCAAAAGTCTGCCAACTAATGAATGGATAAATAAATATCGTGTGTGGTAGAATTCATTTTTTTAAAGGAGTGAGGTGTTGACATATGTTATAACATAAATGAGACTTAAAAAATCTTAGGCTAAGTGACAGAATCCATTCACCAAAGACTGTGCTATAGTATTCCATTTATATGAAATGTCTAGAATAGGAAAATTTATAGAACAGAAAATAAATTAGTATGTGCTTCGGGAAAGTGGCGGCAGTGAGAATTGGTGACCCAGTGGCAACATCTGAAGAATATAATTTCTTTAGGAAGTAATAAAAGTTTTATGATTGATGATGATAATTCCACAGTTTTAGATATCTTAAAATGAAGTGAGCATTTTGTGTAGGTGAAGTTTATAGCATATGAACTATAAACAAAAACTGCCATAAAAAGAAGTCAGTCCAAATGTAAGCAAGGAAAAGAGAAAAAGAACAGATGGAACAAATAAGAAAAAAAAAAGCAAACTGTTCAATCTAAATCTCACAGTATCAGTCATTACATTACATTTAAATGCATCTGTGCTTCAGTCTGAAGATACAAATTGAGATACTGGATGATTAACAATAACAGAAAAAGAACAAGCTTTTCTTAGTCTGATTCTTGCTGCTATAACAGAATGCTAGAGACTTAGTAAGTGACTATAGGCAGAAATATATTCAGCTCATGGTTCTGAAGGCTGGGAAGTCCAGGAATGTAGGACTGGCGGCTGGTAAGGACCTGGCTAGTAATGCAATGGCACAGGAAAGAAGCTAAAAGGACAGAGGAAAAGAAAGGGCCATACTAAAACAACAGCATGACTATATTCTTCCTATGACAAATTCACTTTAAATAAAATAAAAGGCATAAAATACATTAGAAGTGAAATGAGAGAGAAGGATTGTAGGCCGAGTTTTCCTGTCCCAACTGCCTACTCCCAAATAACTGGCAGCAGCTTCTCAAATAACTGACTCAGAGACTTAATATAAATTATAAATGATCGGTCAATAGCTCAGGCTTGTTACTAGTAACTTTTACATTTAAATTAACCCATATTTCTTATCTATACTCTGCCACATGGCTTGGTACCTTTTCTCAGTACAGCATGTCCATCTTGCTTCTCCCCTTGTTTCCTTGTGACTCCTTTGACTCTGCCCTTCCTCATCCCATCATTCTCAGTTTGACTTTCACCCCTAACTTAATCCTGTTCAGCTATTGGCCAGTCAACTTGTTTATTAAACCAATCATAGTGACATATATTCACACAATATAAAGAAGAATTATTTCACAACAAAGGATGTCCCTTACTAATATTACTTTTTATTATTTTTATTTTATTTTATGTTTTTATTGAGCTATACATTTTTTTCCTCATTCCCCTTCCAGCCTCCACCCTAACCCCATGCTTCCAATTTATTAAGGAGATCTTGTCTTCTTTCCATTCCTAGGCAGATTCATGTATGTCTCTCTTAAGGTCCTCTTTGTTACCTAGTTTCTCTGGGGTTCTGGCCTGTAGGATGTTTGTCCTTTGCTTTATGTCTAATATCCACTTATGAGTGAGTACATATCATATTTGTCTTTCTGGGTCTGGGTTACCTTGCTCAGGATGGTGATCTCTAGTTCTGTCCATTTTCCAACAAATTTGAAGATGTCATTGTTTTTTCCCCTGAGTAGCACTCCATTGTGTAAATGTACCACATTTTCCCTATCTACTCTTCAGTTGAAGGATATCTAGGTTGTTTCCAGGTTCTGGCTGTTACAAATAATGCTGTTATGAACATAATTGAGCAAATATCCTTGTGGTATGAGTGTGTATCCTTTGGATACATTGCTGGATCTAGAGGTAGATTGATTCCCAGTTTTCTGAGAAACCATCATACTGATTTCCAGAGTGACTGTATAAGTTTTCACTCCTACCAGCAATGGAGGAGTGTTCCCCTTTCTCCACATCATTTTCAGTATAAGCTGTCACCATAGCTTTTGATCTTGGCCATTCTGACAGGTATAAGATTATAGCTCAGAGCTGTTTGATTTGAAATTCTCTGATGATGTCTTTTGGCCATTTGAGATTCCTCTGTTGAGAGTTCTCTGTTTAGATCTGTATATCATTTTTTATTGGATTATTTGGCTTTTTGATGTCTAGTTTCCTGAGTTCTTTGTATATTTTGAAGATCAGTCCTGTCAGATTTGTGGTTGGTAAAGATCTCCCAATCTGTAGGCTGCTGTTTTGTCTTGTTGACTGTGTCCTTTGCTTTACAGAAGCTTCTCAATTTCATGTGGTCCCATTTGTTTATTGTTGCTTTCAGTGTCTGTGCTACTGGTGTTACATCTAGGAAGTGGCCTCCTGTGCCATTGTGTTCAAGGCTATTTCCCACTTTCTCTTCTATTAGGTTCAGTATGGTTGGTTTTATGTTGAGGTCTTTGATCCATTTGAACTTGAATTTTATGCATGGTGATAGATATGGATCTATTTACATTATTCTACATGTTGACCTCCAGTTATGCCAGCACCATTTGTTGAAGATGCTTTCTTTTTTTAAATTTTAAAGTTTTAGCTTCTTGGTAACAAATCAGGTGTTCATGGGTGTGTGGATTTATATTAGGGTCTTTGATTCTCCATTGGTCTACCTGTCTGTTTTTATGCCAATACCAAGCTGTTTTCATTACTGTAGCTCTATAGTAGAGTTTGAAGTAAGGTATGGTGATGTCTCCAGAAGTTTCTTTATTGTACAGGATTGTTTTTGCTATTCTTGTTTTTTTTGTTTTTCCAAATGAAGTTGAGTTTTGTCCTTTTGAGGTCTGTGAAGAATTTTTTTCAGGGATTTTGTTGGGTATTGCATTGAATCTGTAGATTTCTTTTGGAAAGATTTTCATTTTTACTGTTAATCCTACTATCCAAGAGCTTGGGAGATCTTTTCGTTTTCTGATTTCTGTCTTAACTTTTTTCAAAGATTTAAAGTCCTTGTCATTCAGGTCTTATGCTTGTTTGGTTAGAGTTACCCCAAGGTATTTTATGTTACTTGTGGCTATTGTAAATGGTGATGTTTCTCTGATTTCTTTCTCAGCCTATTTATCATCTGAATATAGGAGACAAATACTACTTAAAAAAATCTGGAGTGGATATATTAATAATAGACTGTGTAGACATCAGAGCAGAAAATATTACTAAGGACAAACAAGGTAATTTCAGAATGATAAAAAAGGTCAGTTTCATCAGGAGGCTAGAACAATTTTAAGTACCGAGGGGCTGAATATCAGAGCTCATAACCACACAAAGATAAACCTCACACAACACTGTGAGAGAAATAAAGATAGTCTTGATTATATCAGGTGTTTTAATTCAACCCTTTGTCCTATAAAAACACATGGCAGTCGAAGGTTCTCTAATGCAGTTCACTTACTTTTCTTTGTGGGGACTATGGGGCCTGGCAAAGTCAATTGACTTGTCCAAGGTATCAGAGCTAATTAATACCAGAGCTCGGCTGTCAGCCTGTGCCACTAGACTTCCTCCAATGTAGTGACTCCTCAGTTCCACATAAAGCTGTGCCGAGAGCTTTGCAGTCATAAGTAAGAGTCCCAGTAAGTAAGTACTGGTGTTTGCAGGGGACTATCCCTTGCAGATCTTTTCATAAAGGAAGGGCTAAGCGCCGTTGGAGCTGCTGGGGACACAACTGTGACATTCAAGTGTCCTCCCTCCAAGCATTTATGCTTTAGTGAAGAAGAAAAGGCAATATATGATGTATAAGAGGTGAATAATATTAAGAAAAATAAGGTAAGGGGAATGAGTGAGTCATGGTGTTTAGAGATTGTGATCTGCTATAGTTTGGGTCTGAATCCCTCTCTTCCATACCCCATCACATACTCACACACAAGACTTCTGTGTTAAAAGTTTAGTTGCTTGCTTATGGCAGAAGGCAGAAGTGAGAGGTGGAGTCATTAGAATCATTAGAAGGAGACCTGGAGAGAAGTCAGGTGGTTGTGGGGGTGCCCGATGTGGTGATATTTTGTTTATGGTCTAACAAATAAAGTTTGCCTGAAGATCAGAGTGCAAAACTAGCCACACTAGTTAGCCATAGAGGCTAGGAAGTGGTGGCACACACCTTTAATCCCAGCAGCCACATTAGTTAGCCATAGAGGCCAGGCAGTGGTGATACACACCTTTAATCCCAGCACTCAGGAGACAGAGGCAGATCTCTGTTAATTCAAGGCCATCCTGAGCTACAAAATAATTGATCCAGTCTAAAAGAGAAACAGCTCCCACAAAGGTGATCTCAGCACTTGGAATCCCACGCCTTTAATCCCATCAATAGAGAAGAATGGATATAAGGCATGAGGAGACAGGAGCTCAGTGCAGTCTGAGGTTTTGGTGGAGACAGATGCAGTCTGGAGATGCAGTCTGAGACCAGGCTTGCTCATTTCAGTCTGAGCAATGGGGGAGGTGAGAAATCGATAGTGGCTGGCCATTTTGCTTCTCTGATCTTCAGTTTTAAACCCAATATCTGTCTTTGAGTTTTTATTATTAAGAACAATTAGAATTAGTGCTACATCTTGTCCCTTCCTTTGTCTTTCTTTGTACCCTAAGGAAAGCAGAACTCTACTATGAAGTGCTGTCATATCACAGGCCCAAAGCAGCAGAACAAAACAGCCATGAACTGAAACATTTGAAAACATGAGCCCAAATAAATATCTCTGCTTGTAAGTTGATTGTCTCAGGCATTTCTATCACAGTAATGGGAATCTGACTCTTGCAAGGGAAGTCCACCAGAGAGCACACATAGACACTGTAAAAGCTGAAATGGAAGTCTTCCACTGGCCAGTGACTGCATGAGGAACTTTCCCAAATAACACTGACCCATCCTCACAGCTCTTTGTCTTTTGTGACCCCAAATCACATCGTGGTTGACACACCTCAGTTATCAAGAACAGTTAGCAAGAGGCCGAACTACAGAAGCCAGAGAGCAATGTTTGTACATTCATGGACCAGGTCTTTGGTAGATGAGGTCTTCTTTCCTGCTTTGGCAGGTGTTGGAACTCACATGCTGTGTTTTAAGGTAAGGATGGTGTCAGTTGTGCTAAGGTCTGGAGGCCTGTTACATGACTACACACACTTCATGATATCTTCCTAAGAGATGGAAGTCATGTGAAATGTTCAGGTAACAGCAAATAAACACTGCCTGGATGTCTTCCTTTTGGAGATTCTCTGTACATGCGAGTAAATTAAAGACAATGGGAAGTTTTACTGCAAGCATAAAACACACATTGAAGATCTCTTGGGCTCTGTCCTAGTTATCATTCTGTTGCTGTGATAAACATCATGACCAAAAGCAACTTGGGGATTAAAGTTGGCTTATACATCCAGATCTCACTGGATCATTGAAGGAAGTCAGGGCAGGAACCATGGAGGAATGTTGCTCAATGGCTTGCTTTCCATGGCTTTCTCAGCCTGCTTTCTTATACAATACTAGACAACTTGCCCAGGGTTGGCACTACCCACACTGGGCTGTACCCTCCCACATCAATCATTAATGAAGGAAATGCCATATACTTGCCTACAGACAGTCTCATGGAGGCAATCCTTTATTGAGGTTCCCCCTCCCAGATGACATTAGTATATGTCAGTTGACAAAAAGTGACCAACATGGGCTCCCTGAAACTCCCTTTGTGTTTTATTTGTAGATTAAATAACCCAAATTCTTTCTGTGTCTTTAACTTATTCTTAAAAAAGATCACAGTTCCGCTCAAAATTGCTTTGTGTGCGAGGTGATTATGTCTATTAGATGTGATATATGGAAGGGCCAGTGTTGGGCCTTAAGTTATTCCAAGACAGCAGTGACTGCCTTCCAAGGCTCCAGTGTCCTTGTGAATAAAGAGAGGACTGCTCTGGGCTTTCAGACTCCTATGGTCCATAGCTCATTGAATGAGAGTATCTGCTTTGGTTCATTCCATTCAGGCTCAAGGAAGCATTAGAGTCCTGACTTTCTAGTTTGGCATCTGAAGCTTTTATCAATGCCCTCTCAACACTTAGATCCCACTGACTTTGTCATGGAATTTACCCAGGAAAGGGCCTAGGGGGCATGTTTAATCTGGTTCCCATACACTGATTGCACATTTCTTGAGAATGAACTTTGTAGAAGACAACATTGTGTTGCAATTTCAAAAGGCTGGATATGCCAGGATGGGATTGCAACAACTGTCCTGGGGGTTCTTATGTTCTGCCAGGGCTGAGAATAACTGCTGTTGAGACTGTCTTCCTCCTATAACTTTCCTTGTACACCTTCACGGCTCAGGATTTTATTGAGTTCCATCTGTACATGGGAATGCAATCCTGCATATAAGATGGCAGACAACAGATTTTGTTGTAAATAGAAGTTATTCAAACAAAATAACCTGACAGAGAAAACAATAGGATTCAATTCAGGCTAATACTGCTGTCTGCCTAGAGTCTGAGCCTGAGGTCAGCATTTTCTCCTGGGAGACATTAACAGATTTAAGAGCATATTATGGTCACAGAGGCTTCAACTGAGAGCTTCTCCTGGAAGCTCTAGAGCAGCAGGCAGAGAAACTAACAGGGAGGGACTTCCCACAGAGAAGCTTCATGGTGTTTGTCATCTCCGGAACCTTCTAAATCCCTCTTTCTCTTTGACTTCAGGCCACACTCTAGGGGTGCTCTGTAAGACTTGGAGGAGCCATTCACTCATTCTTAAGGGAGGTAATGTTGTGGGGTAAGGGAACCCACCAATCAGTAAGTTTCCTGATATTTGGGAGGACAGGGTTACAAAAGGATATTGATGGTGATTTTGAAAGGAAAAAGAAGGGAGAAACAGAAAATAGCATCACGAGGTTGACCCGGTGCTAGTGTTGACAGTGGTGACTAGGCTGTTGCTTCTGCCAGGTGAATGTGAGGTAGGAGATAGGGCAGATGAGGTCACCTGCTGTTTCTATGTTCATAGCAGCCTTCCTCTCTATTCCCCAGGTCCAGGAAAGGCCACTTTCTTTTTCTTCTGACCCATGGCTGAGCCTCCCCATCCCACCCCACCAGCAGCACAGGTCATAAGGCATTGCTTCAGTTGATCGTAAGGTAGGAACAGTTGTCTTTCTTCCTTTTCTGTTTCTAGGTGGTTGTACAGTTACAGAGATTCTTCATTAGGCATGCAGAAATCAAATAACAGACTCCACCAAAAAGAACATTTCGTAAAAGCATTCAGTAAACAGAATAAACTGTTCTATGGAAAGTAAAGAAATCCGAAACTAACTGGAATTTCAGCTTTTTAGGGGAAACAAACAGAGCAAATGGAATCTTTATTTTCTAAGTGTCAAGGCAAGAACCGTAACACTTTTAAAGATTAATAAACATTATATTCTATAGTAATGGTAATTCTGGAGGGGGAACCAGGCCTCTGATGGTAAATGATCTCCATTGGGGTATGTAAATAAAGTTCTTATTCTGTTAGGGCTTTACCACAATGATCACCAACCAAATGCCCCACAAGTAATAAAAGACCAATCAGAAGTCATTTAGGATGTCAGGGGAGTGATAAAGGAGTTCGATTATCAGCCATGGAATGGAATAGTCTATCAGTCAATAGACTAAGCTTTAATGGAGCTGCTGAGTGCTGAGTTCTCTGGAAGCTAAGGGTGGGTGTTCTGGTTTCTAATTGGTAGCAGCCTCAATTTGAGAGCCTGGTATTAAGATACTTTTAAAAAACTGAAACGGATGAAAGTTCTTTACACTTATCTATGATAGGCCTGACTAGACATGGACCACAGTGATGAACAATGCAGGCAGGGCCTTACTCTCTTGGCTCTTCTTGTGCACATGGGAGTGAGGCCCACAGGAAGGAATGAAGCTTACTACTGCCAGTTGAGAGCACCCATGCAGTTCCTGAAAGGCCTATTACTACTGCCAACATTCATGGAGATGAGATGCTAAGAGAAGCTAACAAAGACTCAAAGTCTATTCTACTCAGAGGCATCTGGATTCTGAACCTTGTCTTCTTGGCCCAGGTGTTTAGGAGACCTCTTGTTCTCACCAGTGCCGATAGCTCACAAACCAGTTCTTGGAACACTGAAGAGTTTCAGGACCTCTGGCCACAGCTGACTCTGGTCCTTGATGACAGAACAACTGGGGCTAGCTGGAACCCTCAGTGCCACTTTAGCTCTGCTGTGATAATTTACCTGTCTGAAAAGTTTGGCATTCTCTATTCAGACTGTGCCCTGGAATATATCACAGTCATCCTCCGACAGAAATGTATCTGCTCCCATCAACGGGCTCATGGAACCCAGGAGGAAAGATGACCGAGGATCAGGGCTGGATACCCTGTGTTTGTTCACTGCTGATTGGGGAGACCACATTTGCAGGGGCAGAGAGAGGTCTTTAAGACACATTACTACCTTGACTCTTTAAGCAATGTATCTTTCTGAACACCATAGACCCAAGACTGCTGGTATAGCCTTGCACTAGAGGGGAAGTTTGTATTTATTCTGTAGGGAGTTTCATATATCAACCAGAAAGTTTGAAGAGGTTAAGAATATTCCTATGATGGATTAATTCTTTTTAATTTAAATTCTTTAATTATCACTCATATTTACATAGCCATCCCTCCCCATTCCCTTGCCCTCCCATGTTCCCCACCAACCCCGCCAACCCATCCCCCAACTCCTCCCCAGGGACAGTAGAGACCTCCCTCAGGGACCTTCAAAATCTGTCATATCATTTGGGGGAGGGCCCAGGTCCTCCTTGCTGTATCTGGGCTGCAACAGTATCCCTCCATAGGGAATACCCCCAAAGTCCATTTGTGCTCTAGGGTTGAAGACTGGCTCTACTGTTAGAGGTCCCATAGATTGCCCTGGCCTCCTAGCTGGCACCCACATTCAGAGAGCTTGGTTCGGTCCAATGCTGTTTCCCAGCTTTATGACTAGGGCCTCCATGCTTTCACTAGGTCAGGTCAACTGTTACTGCAGGTTTCTGCAGCACCATCTTGGCTCATTTGCTCATCCCTCCTCCCTCTCCACAACTGGATTCCAAGGGTATAGTTCAGTGCTTAGCTGTGGGTGCCTGTTTCTGCTTCGAACAGCTACTGGATGAAGGCTCTAGAAATGGTAACCAAGGTAGACACCAATCTCATTATAGGGGAAGGGCATTAATGGCATTTTCTCCACCACTGCCTGGATTCTTAGTTTGGGTCATCCCTGTGGATCCCCTAACATTTCCCCTGTGCCAGACCTCTCTCCATACCTGTACTGGCTCCCTCTATCAAGGCATCTCCTTTCTTGCCCTCCTCTATTCTGCCCCTGTCTCAGTCCTCTTGTTCTCCTCCCCCCTTCCCTTCTTCCCTTCACACCTCCTTCCTCTTCACCTATGCCCTGTGCTCAGGGTTTCTTGTTCCCCTCCCCTTCTTTGAGGGACTATGCAATTATGTTCATAGAAGCACTATTTGTAATAGCCAGAACATGGAAGCAACCTAGATGCCCCTCAACTGAAGAATGGATGGAGAAAATGAGGTACATTTACACAATGGAGTACTACTCAGCAGAAAAAAACAATGGAATCTTGAAATTTGCAGGCAAATGGATGGAACGAGAAGAAACCATCCTGAGTGAGGTAACCCAGTCACAAAAAGCTAAACATGGTATGTACTCGCTCATTTTTGATTTTTAGACATAGAGCAAAGGATTACCAGTCTACAATTCACACTGCCAGAGGAGCTAGGAAACAAGAAGGACCACAAGAGATGATGGATTAATTCTGATGAGTCCTTTTTCTCCTTTCCTTTCTCCTCTCCCTCTCTCTTGCAAAGTAATCTAAAGCCAGGCATGGTGGCTATGGTGGTTTGAATGAGATGTTCCTAATAGTCCAGGCATTTGAGTACTTGATCTGCAGTCAGTGGGTGGCTGTTTGGGAAGGCTTAGGAGGAATGGCCTTGGTGGAGGAAATGTGTTCTGGGGGCAAGCTTTGAGGTTTCAGGAGAGTCCTGCCATTTTGAATTCTCTTTCTTTGTTTCATGTTTGTGGTTCAGGGTGTGAGCTCTCAGCTCTCAGCTTCCAGATCCAGTTGTCATGGCAGCCTGCTGATCCTCTTCTCTCCCATGATGGTGACTGAGTCTTATCCCTCTGGAGCCATAAGCCCCAAATAAACCCTTTCTTATATAAACTGCCTTGGTCATGGTGTTTTATCACAGCAATAGGGACTCTAAGGCAGTGTGGCATGTGACTATAATCGCCACACCTGAAGCACTGTGACAGGAGTATTTCTGAGCGTTTAAAGCCAGCCTGAACTACATAGCAAGGAACAGGCCAGACAAGGTTACACAGCAAAAAATAAAAAGCTCAAATAAACACACAAAAAGTAAACAGAATTTAATAGGTTTTAGAATCTCATAGATCGAGATCCTCTTCTCTCCAGTGGGTGGTGGCATTTAAGTACTAGAAGTGCTGGTCCATTTTCAAAGTCTCAGGGACCAACAGAAAATATTTTGAGTTCTGAAGCTGGAACTGGGTTAGGAAAAAGATTGTAAAGCCATATTCCACTTTTCTCTGAACCAGAAAGGAGTCATTTTGTTCCAATTGTGAGGAAATATTCTGTGAGTAGGGATACAAATTAAACAGTACTGAAAAACAAAACTGTGCTATCATTTATAGGAAGTGACTATTTTTGTTCATGCATAAAATAAAGTTTATCTATATATGTATCTTCTTTATTCAACTCCACTGTTTATGAAACAGCTTTTGTGTTTTTTAAACATGTATACCAAGCATCATACATAATTATTTTTGGCACTTACTTTATTATCAAACAATGATGTTGGTTTTTAAAAAACAGTGTTTGAATTCTCTTCTTTTTCACTATCCATGTATCTGATGGGGAAAAACAGACTTCTCTATTTCTATTAGCATATGTGATCACCTGGTAAGTAGGAAGGAACATCTGCAAATAAGCAAGGAGACTCTAAATAGGGATTATTTTCACAATCATTTTGTTTGTTTGTTTTTGGTTTTTGAGACAGGGTTTCTCTGTGTAGCTCAGGCTGTCCTGGAATTCCCACTGTAGACCAGGCTGGCCTCAAACTCACAGAGATCCACCTGCCTCTGTTTCCCGAGTGCTGGAATTAAAGGCATGTGCCACCACTGCCTGATTATTTTCACAATCTTTTCAATTTAGTGGCTCAGTATGGAAAAGTATTGAATAGTTTTGCTTTTAAAACCTTCATTTCCTTAATGTGAAAGCCAGATAAAGATATCACAAAAGAGAAAACTACAAATCAATTATCACCCAAGAACATAGATGTAAAAATCCTCGATGGAATATCAGTAAACATGATATAGCAATGGATAGAAAGAATTGTATATGACAACCCAGTGGGATTTATCCCAGGTATACAAAGTAGTTTCAACATTTGAAAATCAACGAGTGTCCTTTGTTACATCAATAAGCTAAAGGAGGAAAAAAATCACATGATTATATCAATAGGTAGAGTTAAAATATTTAATAAAAATTCACTATCTGTTCATGATATAAACTTATTAAACTAGGAACATGGGAGCTTCTTCAAATAGTCAACCATTTCTACATAAAGCCTACAGGTAATATCACACTTAATGTTAAGAAACCAGAAGTTTCCTGTTAAGATAAGAAACAAGGCAAAGACAATCCTTGCCACATCATGCTGGGAATCCAGCCAGCCAATGCAGTATGACAAGGAAAGGAGATAAAGGGTATATATGAACTGGGAAGAAAGAAGACACATTTTGTTCATAGGAAACATGAGTACATATGCTAATCTAAGATAATTGACACATATTATACTACAGCTTATAAATGTACAAAACTCAGTCCTGTTCCTTCATGTCAGCAATGCATACATGGAAATTAAAATAGAAACTATTCTGTTTATATTAGTATCCTCAAAAATGAAATACTTAGTTAGAGATCTAACAATCCTTATGAGACAGTGAATAAAATGCTGATAAAAATGTAAAAGACCTGGGGTATAAGGTGGTTCAGCAAGTTAAGGTACTTTTCTTCAAGCCTGACACCTTGGGACCCACATGGTGGAAAGAGAGAACTGACTCCCACAAATTGTCCTCTGACCTCCACACGTGTGTGCCATGGCATTGGAATGCATGCTACCTCCCACCCTAAGAAAACAAATGTTTAATAAATAAATCAAAAGGACTACGTAAATGGAAAGAATCCCATGTTCACTGAGAGGAAGACTTAACATCGTCAAGTTGTTTCAAATCTGACCTACAGATTCCATACAATCCCAGTCAAATGCCTGCATATTATCTTTTGATGGTAAAAACAAAGCAAAAACCCAAGAAACCACCCCCAAACCAAACCAGAACAACAACCATAATAGATTCTACACAGTCACCAACTTAAACTTGAGGGAGAATCACTAATTTAATTGATACTACCTGAATTTGAGACTTGGTAAATGCCAAAGTAATCAAGGCAGTATAGACAGAATGTAGGGTACATGCCTACCACTTGCTTGTATGAGGCGAAGGGTTCAATTCCCGGCACCAACAAATGTACGTATTAATAACATTTCAGAGAACCCAGGCATAGACTCACATAAATACAGTTAACAGATTTTAATTTTTTTTGACTCTAGGTCTTGCTATGTATTTTAAGTCACAATCCTCCTGCCTTTGCCTCACCAAAAAATTCAAAATATATCAGAGACATGGATATAAAACTATAGAACCTCTATAATATAATACTTAAGGAGACATCTAAAGGATTTAGGGATTGGTGGTGACCTTTTAGGTACAATCTCTGAAGGAAACAAATGGTATGTTGGACTTGTTTAAGATTAAAAACTCCAAAAAAGCACTAACAAGAGAATGAGAAGACAAGACAAGACATAGACTGGAAAAAAATCTACTTGCAAAAGACATGTCTGATAAAGAACTATTATGTAAAATGTACAAAGAACTTGACAAAAGGAAACACAAAAGTTGATTAAAATTGTTTTAAGGGCCTGAAGGGCTTGTTCAGTCAGTAAAGAACCTGCTGCACAAGCATGAAGATTATATTTCACCTCCAGCACCCATTAGAAAAGCATGGTGACATGTGCTTGTAATCCCAGACATGAAGAGGCAGGGGCAGGCCCATCTTGGGTACTTGCTGACCAGACAGCCTAACTGAGCCAGGAAGCCTCTGGTCCTGATGAGAGGTGATGATAGAAAAAAAAAAAAAAAGGTAGAGTGAAGAAGAATGACATTGAGGCTGACCCATGGCTTCCATGTGTGCCAGACTTTTAAAAAGCTTTTGAAGGTCAACCAAAGAGATACAATGGCAACAATAAGACAAGCTACAAATTAAAATGACACTGAGATGCCACTACATACTCACTAAAACAGCCAAACTCCAAGTCCTTGATGTCACCATTAACAACAGGAAGTCTTACTTATTGCTGGTAGAAATATGAAGCTGTGCAGCAACTTTGGAAAAGTAGTTTGGTGGTTTTCATAAAACTGAAGATGCACTTAACATGAGATTTAGCAATTACACCAGTTTTTGTATTCTTTGTCCAGGGAGTGTTAGTCATCCTAAAAACTGCCTCATCCTTAGCCATCAGGAGTGGCTTTAGGAGGAAGGCAAGAGGGATCTATGGAAGACATGACCTGG